TTTGTGAATGATTGTGTCACTTTCATGAAGCCAGTTTTGTTTTTATACTGTCATCAGGATGCTTCCCAGATCCCTTACAGCCATGCTGATTCCAATTATTTCCCAAAACCGGGGGTTTGTACCTTTGCTATGCACCCTCAAAAATTTAGGTATGGAGCCATCACTGTCTTTAGACATAGGAAAATATTTGCAACACAACAACAGAATGCTTCCATGAACCTCTTAATTTTAGCCCTCTATTAGGATTTAGAAAAATATTGTATGTGAAGGAGTAGAATGCTAAAAGAGCTGAATAACACAGTATTCTATTACACTAAATACTCTTTTATACCAGAAGAACCTTCCATTGCCAGGAAAACTGTCCAGGTCCATTAACATATTCTGACAAAGGATCCCTGACCATACTAGCATGTCTTGTGTGATTCATGCCTGGTGCTACTAAAGATTCCAAATTACCTTCTCCATTCTGTCTCCACTCACCATCAATCACCTCACTATCTTCTTTCACATAATCCAGAGATCCTTTAGGAATGTAAACTGATGGCCATTTTCGGATCAAAAAGTTATGCAATGCAATACATGCATGGATAATGGCAATCGCATTTTCGGGTTTGACAGAAAGTGTTGTATGGAATACTCGAAATTTTGAAGAGAGAATGCCAAATGCATTCTCACTTACTCTTCTTGCACGAGATAATCTGTAATTAAAGATTCTCTGTTCTTCACACTCAATCCTCTCTTTGGGTATGGCTTCATATATACACAGCAAAAAATCATTTTCTGAAGAAAATATAATTTTCTTATTTTGAGAATTAATTTCTTAAAACAAGAAAACTTTTTTAAAACAAGAAAACCGTTTCTTAATTTAAGAAATCAACGAATTATAAGAAATGTTTTCTTAATTTTTCTTAAAACAAAAAAATTTCTGAATTTGAGATATTTCGAGAAAAACCTTGCTTAATTGGGTTTTTACAGTCAGTAAAGTTATATAACATGAATTTTTTGTAATATCCTATAAAACTTTATCAAATTAACAAAGTAATTAAGATATAAGGAAAATTTTCTTAAAATTGGGCATTTTATTTTTCGAATTTTCTTAAACTAAGAAATTATACAACAATAGCCATATACTAAAATAAGAAATATTTTCTTAAACAAGAAAGTGCTAGAACATGATCAGAATTTTTTTCAAATAAGAAACAATATTTGCACCAATAGCCATATGTCAATTTCCTAAAATATGAAAGGGTGTCTTAAATAAGAAACTGCCAGGATATTATAGGAAAATTTTCTTACAACAAGAATTTAATTTTCCAATTTTCTTAAGATAAGAAATAATAGCCATTCTTAGAATAAGAAACCCATTACCCAATAATATAGGTGCTATAATTGGGGTGGTATAATTGTCAAGGTAAATACAATCTTTTGAGTTTGGACACAAGGGGTATATACCAATATTATCAAATCATGTGAAACTTGTCTCCTTGAAAGATCTTAGTACATAATGGTACTGTTCTTAATTTGCATGCCAACAACCGTCCAGTCATGCAGTCTAATATTTAAGTGGGTTGTACCCTTTTAAATGCTGTTCCATCAAATCAAGTATGTCATATTTGACTGGCACATACATTTCTCCATCATTGTCTTCATGCTTGTGAAGAACATTAAAGTCCACTAAGCTTTCATACGCACAAACCTTTGTTTCAACTTCTTCAGCGGTCTTCACATGGTAGGCCTGGAATTTCTCACTAAAACAAAGTGTGTCCAATGCCGTGAATTCAAAGTAGATAAAGTCACTTATTATCCAGATGACAGATATGGTTCCAAAGTTTGGTCTAACCAAATCTTCATTGACACTGCAGATAAAAATACCACCACTTAAACTTTGTCCCATAGCAAGACACCCAAGTAGTCTTGTAAACATTCTGAAGTTGAATGCAAGGTAGTAAGCCAGAAACATCTAACTTTTGACGCAAATTTCTTTTTTGCTGTCCACTAGCCAAGGTCAATGATCCAAAGATTTTTTCAGAAGTCAACAGTGGGTGTGATTGTGGAGATTCATTGAAATCAGCAAAATTTCCACATTCTTTGAACTGACAGCGCTCAGCTAAAGACTTCGAGAGGTTCTTAAAGTTCTGTTTACGAGCTATATCCTTGAAGTAGTTATGTGGAGACTCAAAGGCAAAACATGAATGGCGAATTAGGGGTCCAAGTTCCTTTATCATTGTTGGGATGTGTATCATGTAGTGTTGTTTGGGGATGTTTACGTCGGGAAACTGTTCTTTGAAATTAGCAAGGTGTTCACCAATCTTCAATTTCAGCAAATTGATTGTTGGTAAGGTGATGACTGGTGAAAATATGATCTGACAAATTTCAATTAGTTCTGTGATCAAGGAATATAAGTCATGATCATCATTGGGACGAAGTGGACACAATATGAATGGCAACAATCGAAGAAATAGCCTTGCTTGAGCTGCCTTGTACTTCAATTTGTATCCCTCATTGCCCATGAACACAGATTCCCTTAAAGGACCTGGCTTGTCTGCAATTTCACTGTAGCCATAATTCTGACTAACAATTGCGGCATTCAAGGCACACAATGTAAAATGACCCTGAGAAATATAAAATCCCAAGATATACCGGAGTTCATATTGGACCACACCTTCTAATAGAGTGTGCATTATATCTTGAGGCAGTTGCTTAGTAATGTCAAACGAATGAAGATCACAGAGGAGGCTGCGGTTGGTGATTCCATAAGTTGTTCCCAGGTCATTCTTTTGTTGTTCTGTTGGAGCTTCCCTAATTTCCCGGCATTGACGCTCATAGCTTTCTTTTGTTCTAGAAACAAAATCTTTCTCATAGAAACTTTGCTGCATAACTTCAAAATGGCACTGGCAATGACGACATTTTTGGAATGCAAAACCAACACCAACTTTGTATCCTCCCCACTCGTGTTGCCCTTCAGTGTCACCTGCACAGCTTACAACTTTCCCATAAACAAGTTTCTCTACGCCATTAACAGGGCAAACAAATCCATGTTCAATTTTCTTGAGATCTTCAATAATTGGTTTTAAAATGGCATTATACCCATATTTACGAATTAATTTTGCATTCACAATTGCTAACAATCTAACAGCACAGTGTCTGGACCTCAATTTAGGATTTAAATTTCCTAAAGTGTAGTAGAACATATCTAACTTATGTTTTCCTGCTTGACTACCGAGGGGATTACACACTTCCACAGCATCATGGTAAATTATTATTTGAAGTGCATCCGGATGTTCAAAGAAAAAGTGATCAGATTTAAATACTTTCCCGTCACAAATATCATAGAAGATGTCCTCCGCACATTGATTAGGTTTCCGAATAACAACTTTTGCTATCTTTTTGTTTGATAACAATTGGCAAAGGCTCTCAATTAGTGGTATATACTGGAAAGTCTCTTCCTTTTCAATAAGCAATCTTTTATTCTTGGAATTCTTTCTTGAGATTTTTTTCCCCAAAACAATCTCTTTAGTATCAACATAGTTTAGGTGTTTCTTTATATATGATGCTTGTAAATAATTTGTTTCCAAAGATGAGAAAGGGCTTGGAATTTTACCAAACAAGTCAGTAATAGTTTGTGCAAAATCATGTCCGGGTTCATGAGATTCCCAGGCTTGAATAATATTTTTCTTTACAAGTTCCAAGGCACTATTCATTATTGTGGATGTACTCTCAATAATGTTATCAAGAGCCACCTAAAGTGAAGGTTTGTTTGTGTTAAACTATGAAAATAATGGCTTAATATATACTATCTGTGGGAATGCATTCCATGGAAATAAATCAAATGCAATAATTTATAGCAAGTGAACCCTTACAAAAATGTTCTATAGAATATTCCATTAAAATTCTCTACTGAATATCCTATAGAATATTCTAAGGGATTTTGGAACCTATTCTATGGAACGTTCTACAACATGTTCTATAGCACCTTTAATAGAATATTCTATAACATATGCCATGTTTTATAGAATATTCAATAGAATATCCTTCAGAACATTCATTAGAATGTTCTATAGAATACTGGTATTCTATAGAACATTCTAACACATATTCTATGACATCCTATATGAAATGTTCCATAAAATATTTTTAATCTATGGAATATTCCATTAATGATCCTATTGAATATGTGATAAAATGTTCCATAGAATATGTATTCTATAGTACATTTTATAGGATAATCTATTAAATATGCTATTGGATGATAAATGGTATATTCAACATTCGTCCATGTTTCGACTTTGAAATATATCACTTTATAACAACATAATCAAAACTTCTTTCTGCCAAGAGTGAGACATACAAACAAATAAAATATTCCCAAATATATGTAACAAATTTATTTACTTAAAGTTCAATTGATGCAAAGATTTAATGAAAATGCCTTGCTTAAATTACATATAAATAAATCTAGAGATTAAAGAAATTGAAATACATATATTATACAACAAAGAATAAAAAACAAGTCCTATAAGTGTCCATATAACTTTAATCTGCATGTAGAACTCTAGTTCTGGTAATTAAGTCTGTCAAATAATCATTTTGTTTCGTGGATAAAACAACTGCAGCCGGTTGTTTGAAGGCTGTTTAGCTTAAATGGTAGTTAAGTGAAAATTATATACATTTCACACATTTTGAGGAGGATTCAATTGAAATATTATGCACTAAGTAATTGAAAACAATATGGTGTCACTCAAATTGAAATATTTTAGCTTGGTTTTTTATGAATGTATAAATTTATTCAATATTTTCTAGATAAAATTATTACCATACTGCAGTTTTCCCACCAAATAAAATGACTGTGCAAGAAAATAGCAAAAATATAACTAGGCTATTATACTAAATATATTTACATGTACAGAACATGTAAATAGTAGAAAATGGAATGTCATATAGTTACTGATGTCCAGATGCTTTCAACTTGGTTTTCTCAACTTGCACAATATTAAATCTTTGGTGCCATAACTTGTCATATGTCAGCCTCTTTTCCCTCAAACCTTTTTGCACCATACTTTAGACACAGCTAGAAAAGGTAAAACTCATCAATAACTGAACCAAGATATGTATATAAGATATATTAACTTAGACCAGACATAATTACTAACAATTATACTGCTTACCATATATACTCTTAACTTTCTCTGGCTCTGGTTTTGCATCCTTTTCTTTGAATTAAGCTAGGCATTTGAAGCCTTTCCAGTGATGGAATGAGAGCAAAGTTGTTCTTGCATCCACGGCACTGCATAAACAAAACCTTTCACATTTAATATTGCTTTAATAGAGCTCCATTTTGACCTTTGGTTAGTGTGATGCTTGGACAAAAGGAAATCTGTAAATTTTAACAGTAAACACACAATTAAACACTTGAGACCTAGCTTATATTTAATTCAATTTTAATGATATATAAAATTTATCTAGAGCTAGTGCAAATGTCTTGACAGAAATAATTTTTAGTTGGAATGGCTCTATTTATAGTGGTATAAATAAAAGGTGTAAATAAAATGTTCAAATAAAAAGTTTAATCTAAAGGTGAATAAAAATTTATGAGATTATATAATGGTATACAGAACATATGTTGCCTATACAAACATATAGCATTTATAGCATATACAAAACACTCACCACTGAATTCCAATACTTTAGCTACACATGTTGTTGTATAGATGGGTCAATGAACTTTTGATTATTTTCTTAACTTTAGAAATTTCTCATTGCCATGGCCTTTCTTTCTCACGATCCTAGTCACCTTTCAGGCATTCACAAAATTATCCATATCTTCTGATTCTTCTCGCATAAACAGCGCGTTTCACCACCCTCCTATGATTCCTCTTTGACAAATTCAAAGAATGCGTATTTTATGTTAAAATACGAAAGAAAAACGCACTAAATTCTACCAGTATCAGTTATAATACGTTGAATCAACGGATGACAAACTACATACAAAGACGCGCTCAAAATTTGAAAATAATGCGTGGCGGTTAAACAAGTCCCACATAACCTTGCGGCCTTGTTTGGGCAAAACGCCCGCCATCTAACCTGCGAACGGGCATATTATGAAACAGATATGAGATATGTCATATGTGTGAAATATTCGTGATTTGTCTTTACAAAACGAATGATTTCTGCTGAGAATTTTAACTTTAAGACTTTAAAAGTATGTTGAGAGAACCTTACAAAAAATGCGATTATAATTCTCGACCAATGAATAGTGTACTAAAAATGTTATATTTTAAATTGCATAAAGGTCTCATTCTGTATAACATATATTCTATAGAATATTGTGTACAGCATGTTCTATAGAATATATTATTGGATATTTAATTTGAATGTTCAATAGAATATTCTATAGCATCTCTAAATTCTATAGAATATTGTGTACAGCATGTTCTATAGAATATATTTTACTGTGAATGTGCAATAGAATATTCTATAGCATCTCTAAATTCTATAGAATATGGCAATGGAATATGCTATAGGATAAGAAGTCCTATAAAATATTCTATGGGATTTAGAATATGTTATAGCATATTCTATAGGATTCTATAGAACATTTTCGTAAGGGAATAAATGGAATCCCTATTAAAATGCACGACTCTCCTCTTGACAAATAAATAATTTTGTGTTAGACAAAGTAAAAAATAAATGGAAGAATTCAATGCTGCTAATATTTTATTTCTTTTTACTCTGCGTAACATCTGACGATTTTACTTGTGAGGGATGGAGCCTCCAATTTGTGAGTTAAGTTGCCAGGCATTTAGAAAAAATGCAACTAAATGAGCTAAACCCACTAACACAAACAAGTTTCCTAACCTGTGTAATACGGTTTCTTTCCTTCACCTTTAACACAAAAAGAGCTTCATTTTGACGAAAATCTAAGTTCTAAATAAAAGAGAAAAATATGTGAGAAAGTTCACAAATCGATCACCATCAAGATGATTTATAGTAAATATTATGTTAACTTACTGACTGTACTTGCTACTCAACCACTGATAAGATAAATGGCCTGTCATTAGACAGAGTACTAAAGTACTAAGAGGGAGCACATCTGGGTGCATAAATGGCCCCTAATAGGAAAATATTTATCATTAGCTTTCTATAGGGTTAGATGTGGGGCTGGTTGTTCAAAAACATTTAATCATGTCTACATTCCTAATAAGGCAATGAGCTGAAAGCCTGAAATAAATCCAAATAATACACTTTTAATTTCTAATTAAAAGTATATAAATTATATAGCATTATTAAAGTGATTTTGTAATAGCACAAGACAAGTTACACATTTGAGGTAAACGACTAAATTTTTAATGCAAACATGTTTTGGCTTACACTAAGCCATCCATCATAAGTGCAAACTGAGCTAAGAATATTTACAGCAGGATATGTGATACATATGATAGAAATATTAGGTTACAAAGTGATGCTATTAAACTAACCTCAGCAAGGGGATTTCCACACTCATTTTCATTTTCACTGTCCTCACTGTAATCCAGCAAAGAATCAGTACTTCCAGTGCCAGAAGAAACTCCTTCGTTAATATTCATATTGAAGTTTTCATCATCACTATTGCTATGCACTGGTTCAGTCCGAGAAATGGATTGACATAGGCTTCCATTTAGACCTTGACACACCACACACCGTTGCTTCATTTAAGGCATCGTATTCCTGACTATGATTTCTCACAACATGCTTATAAAACGAATGGTACCTTCTATATGTCGCAGGACATCCATTTACATGGCATCTGACAAAAAAATTTGGACTATTACTGTGTACTGTGTAGTAGTGGCCCATCAATGCTCTGAATGTAAGAGCGACGAATGCAGTACAAATAAAACATTTCCACAAGTCGTTAGTGACTGGATTTCGGCATCCATTCCTGATTCCTTGCCAAGCGGCCACTTTAATTTCCTATAAAACCCTTCTGAACGTCTATATTTTACTCGTGGCTTCGCGAACCTGAATGTATGACGCGCGGATTAATTCTTTATTACAAATATTAAATATTTATTCTGATATTTTAAATATAGATTTGTTATTTCTAAAATTTACGCTAATATTTAAAATATTTGCCAATCTGTCAAATACGTCCCCTATTTTTTAATGTATCCTAATTACAAATTTTTATATATGTCCTAATTGTGATTTAAAATATGTCCCAATTATAAATTCAAATATGTCCTATATTTAAATGCGAATTTAAATATTTGCCCATCATTCTCTATGGTTGTTAACAATTTGCGCGTAGTAAAGAATGCCTCGAACAATAACGAGAGAACGAAATGAACGAGGACTTTCTACTTTTCTGGATTCCATTCGTTCCCTCTTAATCAGTGTTCAGAATTTAGAAGATACCTATTGTTCGACTGAAGTTATTGAAAACCTGCTTTTACACCTGGAGGAGAGTGCATCAACTCTTGTTCTAATTTCCACACATGCTGGATTAAACGCTCATGACGCTGTTCTCAATAGTTTCAAGAATGATATTGATGCAGTGTTGGCTAAAATAAGATCATTGTGTCGAATGTTAACAAATTACGTGGATGATTCACAAGAAGGTCAACTTCACTTTAGCTACACAGCACCCTTATCAGTGGCAAAAGGTCCTGGTCGCCCAGCTGTTGTAGTAAAGTGTGAGCAAATTCTATTTTTGAGAGAACTGCATTTTTCCTGGGCAAAAATAGCTAGTTTGCTTGGTGTGAGTGTGTCTACTCTTAATCGCAAGCGAAACGAATTAAATATACCGGATGAAGATGACTCTTGGACGACCATATCAGGTAATTAATTGGGTAATTAATTGGGAATATTAATCTCACTTACCTAGCTCAGTAAACTGCAGTTGATAGAATAAACATAGTTTGGAGACCACCTAAAACTACAATACAACTTATTAACAGTGTTGGACAATACATAGTTAATGAGTTGTATTGTACTTTTATTTAGTCTCGAAACCATGTATATTCCATTAACTGTGAGTAAACTAAGTAACTAGGTTAGATGTTCACAACTTTCCTATGGAAACTTGTTTTGTTTAAGAGATGAGCGACTGGAAAGAGAAGTGGAAGAAATAAGAAGTCTAACTCCTAATATTGGTCAGAGAAGATTATTGGGCGCATTAAGGGCAAGAGGAATAAAGATTCAAAGGAACCGCGTTCGCGAATGCTTACGAAGAGTAGATCCCCTTGGAACGTCTTTACGTTGGAGTGGAATCATATATAGACGCAAATATTCAGTACCAACACCAAACTCACTCTGGCACATAGATGGCAACCATAAGCTTATCCGTTACAGATTGGTTGTGCACTGTTGCATCGACGGTTATTCCAGGCTATTAATTTATGCACATTGTGCTACGGACAACAAGGCTCAAACCGTCCTTGAACAATTTATGCACGGAGTGTCCACGTTTGGTTTACCATCAAGAGTACGCAGCGATCATGGGCTGGAAATATCGAAGTCGCTCGATACATGTTAAGAAATCGTGGCGTAGCCCGTGGAAGCATAATAACGGGAAGTTCTGTCCACAATTGCCGCGTCGAAAGGATACATAGGGACGTATATGCAGGTGTTTTAACTTTCTATGCTAAACATTTCAACGATCTAGAAGAAATGGGAATTCTGGATCCAATGAATGAGGTAAACCTGTTTGCTTTACACCACGTCTATCTACCACGAATAAGGCGGTCTTTAATGGAATTTATACAACAATGGAACAATCATTCTGTTTCTACCGAGAGAAACCTCACGCCATTGCAGCTTTATCAGCTGGCATGCTCAACAATATGTATTCCGGCCATACAGCAACCGAAGAGATGTTTCGTCCTGAGGAACTAGTGTTTTATGGGATTGATGGAGATGGTGCGGTACCTCTCGAAGACGAAGATTACCTGTTCCTGCACTTAATGTGACACTGACAGCATTTCAGATTGAACAGTTGCACTTGGAGTGTCCTCCTCTTCAAGAAGACAGAAATGGTGGAACTTCTAATTATCTAAGATCTTTAAATCTACTACAAACATTTCTGGGCAGTACCAATTGAACGTATTTATTGCAGGGGCGCCTCCCTTAATTGTATTGAATGAAAAGCGTTTATACACAACATATTCTTTATTAAAATGCATATCAGTAAATATTAATATCACCACCATACATGAAGGTTATACGTGTAGTTATATGCCTAACAGTAACAATACAGTACCTGTCATATTAAAGATGACTGTTTACTGTCAAAAACCCCTTAACAAATATTATGTTTAAACCAAAACTGTAAGTTAAATTTCAACAAGGATCGATATTCTGTTACGAAGTTATGTCATAAAGTTTTAAGAAAGTCGAAATGAATTAAACAATGTTCATTTCCCAACTATCCGCAGAAAGGATACTACTAAACTCCTCTCGAAGTTCACAGAAATTTGCGTACGTGCTTGGGAGTTCAAGGGTACATCCACACGTGTGGCTGACAGGTCTACGAGCAGCGCCAGTAATTTTACTGAAACTGACTTTAATTTCATCGGTAACAAGGATATCTGATGCTGTAATAAAACGCAAGAATGCGCATAATTTGCTTTTCTCCAGTCCTCTGACGTATTTCTTTAGGTGATTGAATGCTTCTCTCTCTGCATCGTTTGTGATATCTGCATGCAGCATGTTGACCACTTTCGCATTTGTCGGCTCACGACTTTTGTAAAATTCCACAAGGTCGTCAATGGTTGGAAAATAGAGCTTCAACTGAGAAACAATATCAGCCCAGCAATCTGACACGTATTTTGGTCTCTGAATTAGTTCCTTATGGGCTAACTCCTGGATAATGTCAGAAATGTTATCAAGAGTTACCACTCTTCTGCAATCAAAATTGCTTAGGAAGTCCTCTAACTCTTTACTATCTAGCGGGATCTCTTTTGATAAAGCCTGCTCCACAATTCCTGCCTCATCCTTGGAAACATAACGTTTAAATGACGTTAACAACATAGGAACAGTGACAAAGGCTTCATCAAAAAATACACTGCCAATGAAAGCCCTGCTGAGCTGCAATGGAAAGTAGGAACAATCTTTAAAACCTTTGACCAAAATTCTTGCAATTGCTTGCCATGTTTCCTTGTTATAGTCATGTCTGATGAATGGCACTCTCTCCTCCTCCCCAATCAACGACGAGTCTGCAAATTCGGACCAAAACAGTGTAAATATTTCCCTCATCACTCCAGTTCCACGACCGACTTCTTCCTCTCCTTTGGCATTTATTATTATGCCAAATAATGGCTGAGACATCACTGAATCATCAGAAAATATCTTGATTAAATCCTTTCTTATCATGGTCCGATGAACCTTTATAATGAATGGGTCAGAATCGTGAGGTGGGGGCATCATTGGTGTTTGGTGATCTTCAACAGAAATGATGGAAATAGGGTCATCCTCAAATGGCACTGGAAAGTGGCGGTCATCAAGGACTATTTCACAAGTGGGGGAAACAGCTGGAGCATCATGTTCTAGGAATCTCTCAGAGTCATTGAAGCTGGTGACTTCATTTGATGTTAGTACATTATCAAGAGAGTTTTCAGTGATTGCTACATCATCATCAACCCAGTTACTAGATCTTTGTGTCAAAAAAGCACTATCACCACTTGAGCCTTGATTGGGTGTGTCAATGGACACATTGTCATCACCAGATGCTGTTGCAACAGTGGATATGCAGCACGTAGTTGCAAAAGAGGGATGCATTAGTATTTCATCTGTATTTTCGTTGTCACTGTCATCCATTTCCGTGATACTTCTGACATAAATATTCCCTTGTCCAGCCATTTTAATTAATACATTTGTTGTTACCTCCACTCCATTAGCCAAATTCGGTTTGACTAAAGTACCATAACAAGCCTAATAAAAAGAATACTTGCGTAAATATAACATTCACTAGTAGTTTAATTATCTGTTGTTAATTAAGATGTCTCAATTTTATGTAAGTTGTCTGTTGACAATATGAGCCTGCAAGAGTGGCAGAAATTTAGCTAATGTGGACAAGGGTGCTCCCCACCTAAATTTTGCTCTGATGGCCCTAGGCTTGTACATTTTGGTGTCATGTGAAATTAAATTGTAATGAATGTTTTATAGGTGCAATGATAAGAATATTTTAATTAGGTGAACATAGAACTCTCCATTTCACCTTATGAAAATTTTCCTAACATTGCACACATGAAAACATTCATTGTTAGTATAATACAATGGTCAGATTCTTATTACTCATTAGTTATATTTAGTAATTCTCAACACTGAGCATGACTAAACATAATCATGTGTAAACATGCCAATCAAATACACACTATTGATTACAGTGCTCTGTACTCAGTGGTTCAATTTGTCAATTTCATGGAATCATCCATAGTCTTGAGGTTTTTCCATACCTCAAGCTATATGATGCTAAAATCTAAATATATGACTTTTATTATGGATGTATAATAAATAGGGGTGTACTCTGAGCTGTAGCTAGACCGCTTAATTGGGGGGTATATTCATATAGCCATGTTTATATACCATAGGAACAATAGCGTACAAAAGAAATCATTCCGGCATAAGATGAACATAGTAATATGCACCCCCCCCCAATTAAGCTTCTAGCTAAGGTACTACAGTATATACAGAATATAGACCTTAATTTCCTTTAAATACGTTGCAATTGAGTGAAATTGCTGTTATCGTTTTATAAACGTCTATAATTAACCATAATATTAAAAGCCATAATTATTTGTCATTACCTTTACAAATTCAAATTCTATCCCGTTTGGCAAGACTTTGCCAACCTCCTCCTTTAGGGTCTCGGCCGACCACGATCTTTTGAACGGGAATTCGTGAATGACAAAATTTTGCTCTTCTAGCACTAATCGCTTCTTGTGCGTCGGAACTTCGGTCTCTTTAGGATCCGGAATGAATACAAGGTCCTTAAAAACAACGTCGTTACACCGTCGACCTCTTTGTGCTTTCTTGTTGTTCCGGTGTGAAGTTAATGCGGGTGAATTAGACTTTCGTTTTCGTGATCTCGTCGCGTTTACGGTGGGGAACCGTTCCGCTAGCTCTTGCTCCAAACTTGAGTTGCTTGTTGATGGAACGAAAACATTCGACATTCTATTTGGAATGGATGCAGAAATGGGGTTGTTCGTTTCGATACGATCGAGAATTCCTGTTGAATTTACATTGCTCAGAATTTGCAGCGCCTCAGCGGCAGTGCGACAAGCTTTAGATAGGTTTGAGCCGTTTGACATTTTAACAGGAAAGTGGCGCGTGAAACTGACAAATTACAAATACTCAATAAAATCATAACATTAGGACATATTTGAATTTATAATTGGGACATATTTTAATTTTTAAATCACAATTAGGACATATATAAAAATTTGTAATTAGGATACATTAAAAAATAGGGGACGTATTTGACAGATTGGCAAATATTTTATAAATATTAGCGTAAATTTTAGAAATAACAAATCTATATTTAAAATATCAGAATAAATATTTAATATTTGTAATAAAGAATTAATCCGCGCGTCATATGAATGATATTACATTAAAAGTATGTAATGTACTAATGTTTTGAAAATATTTGATATTTCATTATTCGAGTGCTTCCATTTAGGAGATAAGATTTCGAAATTTAAGATAAATTTTCTAAATTTTTTATCAGATTTCCTATGACGGGTATTTAATATTCTCTAAATTTTACGCGCGATTTTTTTAGAAACATATATAAAATATAAGATGTATAAAATATCTCGAAATATATATTCTTTCGGTATTCTTAGAATGCCCTTAGAATTTCAAAACAAGTGGAAGCGCTAATTTTTGACCAGCACTATTTTTCAAAAAAGGAAGCGAACGGAATTGTGGGAAGAATTGCCAACATCTGCATATCGCACGCTTTCAATTGTGTTGTGATCATTGTCCCGGGGGATTTGAATTTTCGTTTTGGGAAGTTTATTTTAATCTCTGAGAACGAAGAAATCATGAATATTGAAGGCAAGTCCCTCTTCAATAGAATTAAAGATGCGTCTAAAGAAATCGGCGATATTTTAGAAGGTACGTGTAAAGTGATTCAATCCAAAGATATAGGCAAAAATTAGCGACTAAAATCTGTTCGTATATTTTGAAAGTGGTTACAGTATGTTAACCTGTTTTATTTACTAGCTTTATTTTACATACATAGATCATAGATGCGCTTTTAAAAAGCCAACCGTATCTGGGGGAAGGTTTTCTGAGTTGGAAGATAAATGCCAACTGAACATAGCCTTTACTAGCTTACTTTATATCAGATCCTTGAAATTCAAATCGTTATTGAGTTTTAGGCTCTGTTTTTCTTTAAAATGTGTATTTCTGTTTTACTGTAGCGAACGAAATAGTAGAAACAGAGGACATTCAGCAGCTGTGTTATGAAGCCCTTTCTGAAATTTTCCCCGGTGGAGGGCGGACATTGCTACAACGATCGAAAGTATGGAA